CCGAACCGCCCGATTACAACCATGGGCAACAGAAGGTTTAGGGTTTTTTTTATGTGGTTTAGGGTCTGGGGTTTTGCGCCTTCAAGAAAAATCATAACTGGTTTGGAATATCTCATAGTTTATGTATATAGGCACAAAACAAACCCTACCCCAAAGCCCCAAGCCTCAAAAGCCTCCAATAAAGCCTCCGACCCTAAACCCGAAGGAGTCAAACCCAAAACCCAGAACCAAAAGGGAGTTTCCGAAAATAGGGGGGTACCTCAGTTTTGAGGGTCCTTATAATAAGGAGCCTACTATTTGGGGGTACTCTCTTAGGCTCCCTGTTTTCGGAAACCTCTTCATCCCAAACCCAGAAGTCGATCCCGAGACCCGCCTCACCCCTGTGAGAAAAAACACAGACCCCACCCAAAGAGCCCAGGAATGTAGGGGCCTTAATAATCAGAATAGGGTTTTGGGGCCCAATGTACGATAGTTATACCAAGGAACCCCAAAACAGCATTGGGAATTATTTAGGCCCCTATATTGCTCTGTAAGTGAGGAACCTGCCTTGGACAACGATAAGAAGCCTTCTATTTTCCAGGTCCTAACCCCTTGAAGAAGCTGTACACCCTACAGACCTTGAAACACATCCAAATGCCCTAAAAAACCCAACACAAATTCGTAGACACCTGTATGAAACCTGGAACAACCTCCCCCCCCAACAGAAAGAAACAAAAAAAAAAAAAACACTTCATAGTGTGCTGTAAGACAGTTGCAAAGCCTGAACTCTGAACCCCAAACCCTAAACCCTAAACCCTGAACCCTGAACCCTGAACCCTAAACCCCTAAACCCTTAAGCCGAGCCACACTCATTCCAGAACTTCGGATCGGACTCCGGAAACTGGACCAGCTCTGGCGGCAGGGAGCGACGGTTGAGAGTAGAGTTTAGGGTCAAGGGTTTAGGGTTCAGGGTTCAGGGTTTAGGGTTTAGGGCTCTCAAGGTTAGGGTTCCAGGCTTAGGGTTTAGGGTTTAGGGTTTAGGGTTTAGGGTTTAGGGTTTAGGGTTTAGGGTTTAGGGTTTAGGGTTCCAGGCTTAAGGTTTAGGGTTGAGGGTTTGGGGTTTACGTTTCAGGGCTTGGCGCTGGGGGCCTTCTGAGAAAGCCCGAACGTGCATGAAGGAACATACCTTAGGTAGGGTTGAGGGTTTAGGGTTTAGGGTTTAGGGTTTAGGGTTTAGGGCGCAAAGAGATCTTCAGCATGTTTCAAGGTAGGAGTGTTCGGGCTCGCCGTATTATAGGGGCCTCAGTCATTAGAATGGGGCTTGCGGGGTGTATTCTACTATAATTATGATAAGGAGCCGCTGAATAACGGAAGTTATTTAGGCCACATTACATGACAATACAATCTGGCCAGGGGTTTGTATTTCGGGCTGGGGGCATAGCCCCTGCAGGCCTCAGGGTTTTCTGTAGGAGCCTGAACAAATAGAATAGAGTTGGGGTAAATTCGACCGTAATTGCAGCAGAGAGCCTTACTTCAACCAAAGGTTGCAAAGGCACGATACGGGCGATCTCCTGAACATCCGAACATCAAGGCCTGGACAACTTGAAGGTGGGGCATACAATACTGCACCTGTCTAAGGGCTACATAAGCACTAGATTCGATTAGACCGCGGTTTCTGGCATACTGTACTACAACCACATGTGACAGAGATCAGGCTGTAGAGTATTAGGGCACCCGGAGGCAAGTCATTAACTACTTATTTCTTAACTCTCTCAAAGTACGCCCTGAACCCTGAGACCCAAATTCACAACCCGACACTCTAGGCCTAAACCCCCACACCCTAAACCCTAAAACTCAAATTCTAAACCCTAAATCCTAAACCCTAAACCCAACACCCTACACCCTACACCCTGAACCTGAAAACATTCGCTCCCGGCAGAGCCTTCGAGACTCCGGATGAGCGGCGCGTTCCTGTGCGAGAGGAGCCGTTCGAACGTTTGAATGTGCTGTGTGGGGCCTTCAGTTTCGGGTTGAAGTTAAGGCTTAGGGTTTATGGTTTATATAGGTTTTAGGGTTTAGACTTTAGGGTTTAGGGTTTAGGGTTGAAGTTAAGGTTTCGCGTTCTCGGCTTTGTGGTTTCGGGTTTTTTGTAGGGCTTTAGGGTTTAGCGGTTAGTGTTTAGGCTTTAGGGTAATTCGGGTGTGACAAGGTTTCAGGGCTTGGGGTGTAGGGTTTCGGGTATAGTCTGCAGGCCTTAGCAACTCCATCGGAGTCTTGCGGGCATCTTGTGATTAATTAAGGGTTTAGGGTTTAGGGTTTAGGGTTTAGGGTTTAGGGTTCAGGGTTTAGGGTTTAGGGTTTAGGGTTCGGGGTTTGGGGTGATAATGTACATCGGGGCGAAGAGGGAATGCGATTGGCAATCACGCAGGGGCTGGGCGTCGGAGTCCTTCGCATGGGGCTTCTTACAGGGCTGAAAAGAAGGGCTCTCTCTCTCTCTCTCTCTCTCTCGAGTTAGGTATGTGCGTTCTTGGGGTTAGCATTTTTCAAGGGCTCTGCGATTTCAGTGGATTTGGGGGGTTTTGGGTCCCCCCTGAAGGGTTCTAGGGTGCAGAGTGGCCACAGCTCTGAATCGTAAAATCTCACCATGGGGCGCCTTGTCACATTTGTTCGGGGCCGTTTTAGGGTTTAGGGTTTAGGGTTTAGAGTTTAGGGTTTAGGTTTCGGGTTTAGAGTTTTGGGTCTCTTAGAACAGGATGCATGAGATGAAGTATATGGGTAGTTTCCCATAGTAGGGTCCGTTTTGGGGGTCCTTTTTACAAGGGTGCCGTACTATATTGGGGACCAGAAAGGGGACCCCAATTTAGAGAACTACCCATATGTAGAGTATTACTACGCGTCCAAAGGCTCATACTCGGAATGGCTGGATGCGATGACCCTAAACCCTCAACCCTAAACCCTAAACCCTAAATCCTAAACCCTAAACCCTACACCCTCCCTCAACCTCAGCGCTCTGGCGTTTCAGGCTCGGGGCATCAGCAGACAACTATTATAGGGGCCTTAATACTTAGAACAGGGTTTAGGGTTTAGGGTTTAGGGTTAGGATTTTGGGGCCCATTCTACTATAATCACAATATCAGTGCCCTGTGGGTTCAACGAGCCCGCTCACTCTCCGACATACAGCCGAGGAGCCAGCCAAACCAAAGCCGCCCTCCAACACGCACCTCAAAAGCGAGTCCATACGCCGTCATATGGGGATCCTAATAGCCCTACATCCTAAACTGGCAACTATTGACTGTGCAATTAGGGTTCAGGGTTCAGGGTTCGGACAAAGCTGAAGCAAGCAGACCAATAGGACGATTCACTCAGCAAGCAGTTTGGCAAATGCGGTTCGCGAATCTCGCCAGACTTACATAACAAGCACGACTGCTCTGACAGAGTCTGATTGCGGTGCAGAATTCGGATAACCAGTGTTGTTCATATTTTATGAATATCAATGGCAGCAAAATTGTGAGTTTGTGAGTGCACTCTGATAACTGCACGTAAGGTTCGCACCCATGGCTAGAAAGCCTCATTGCTGTTGTTTGATCTGAAAACAATAAGACCACCTTCTCCACCAGCGTGAGCACGGTGAGGCACTGGTCGTCGGGCTCCCTCAGCATAGTATCGGCGGGTCGGGCTCACTATAGATAAGCATGAACAGAATATACTCCTAAACTCCCACACCCCTGTAAGACAAGCAATTGACCCGACCAGCCCTAAACCCTAAACCCTAAACCCCTAAACCCCATTCCACTCTGCAGCGCATGGGGTCTCATGATTCTTGGTCGTCCTGTGGAAGCTTCTTGAGGCACTCAAGGGGTCGTAGTATAGGGGGCCTGAATCGTAAGGGACAGTATTGGTAGCTATCCAGGCTTCTATTGGCCCTAAACCCTAAACCTATAGTAGGTGCTTCGACATCAGCAACCGAACAGGTGCAAAGTCAGGATTTAGAGCCCAACTTGAATAAAACCTAAGGCCCGAAATCCCAAGACCTTAAGCCCCTTTTGAAAAAATCCCACCAAAATCCCCAACAAAGCCCCAAAAACCTTAAACCCTAGAACCCGGAAACCTCCGCAACCCCTAAACCAGAAACCCCTAAACCCTAAGCCCCCAAATCCAAAAGGGTCCTCGTCGCTGTTGCCTGGCCCAGACTTCTCAGAAATGAAGAAAGACGAGCCACGACTAAGCAGCATAGGGTTTAGGGTTTAGGGTTTAGGGTCTAGGGTCAAGGGGCCATGAGGATTACAATCAGGCTCCTTTACAGGGCCCAATTAAGGGCAAAGAAACCACAAACCCTTTTCGTACCTTGTTTCCCCTAAACCCCAGACCCCTAAATCCTAAACCCTAAACCCTAAACCCTAAACCGCCGTATTGGAATGCCAAGAAAGCTTTGGCAAACATGCTGCTTGGGGGCAGATGCATTAGCGCAGCGTAGGAGATCACTGCATCGACGGTGTCATCCGGGATCCAGTCGAGAAAGCCTGGCAGTCTGTGCTGAGAATCCACGGTTCAGGGTTTAGGGTCTAGGGTTTAGGGTTTAGGGTTGAGGGTTGACGCCTTCTTATACTGTTCAGCGTTTCGGGAAGGTGTTGGGTGTAATGTCGGGGCCTTCATAATTAGAATAGGGTTTTGGGGGTTCCTTATTATGCTGCTAGTATAGTATATCCCCAAACCCTATTCCAATTATTAAGGCGCCTAAACCCTAAACCTTTATAGTAGCCCTTATAGAACCCTTTAAGGATACCTTTAAAGGAACCCCTTTTCTAGCTCTGCTTGGAGTCTTAGCGCCTGGAGTTTTGGAGCCTGGCGCGCACGGTCCATCACGACTACTTAAATAGGGTTATAAGTCCCCTAATTGGGGTTATAAGTATAGTTACCTTAGTTATAACCCTACTTACTAAGTCCCATGATCCTCCTAAACCCTAAACCCTAAACCCTAAACCCTACTTACTAAGTCCCATGATCCTTTAAGTACGACTGCT